TTTAACATGGGGTCCCTCCTAGAAATCCATTGAAATGGGGAACGGCACACTTCAACAACAAAAAAAAGTCATTTTTCTTTTCTTTAGAAATGTCAGTTTTGCTGCAGCATGTTCAATACATCGTACAGATCCCCCACTTCACCGGCATTTTAAGGGGACCCCCCCGGGTTACCCTTTAAGAGATGTTAAAATCACTGGTCCTTTAAAAATTGTGTTTTTTAAAAGTGTATTTTTCATTCATTCCTGTCCCCCAGGACAGTACCCGGACCCCCATACATGTCCCCCAGGGCAGTACCCGGACCCCCATACATGTCCCCCAGGGCAGTACCTGGATCCCCATACATGTCCCCCAGGGCAGTACCCAGACCCCTATACATGTCCCCCAGGGCAGTACCAGGATCCCCATACATGTCCCCAAGGGCAGTACCCAGACCCCTATACATGTCCTCCAGGGTAGTACCCAGACCCCTATACATGTCCCCCAGGGTAGTACCCGGATCCCTATACATGTCCCGCAGGGCAGTACCCGGATCAACCATACATGTCCCCAAGGGCAGTACCCGGATCCCCATACATGTCCCCAAGGGCAGTACCCGGACCCCCATACCTGTCCCCCAGGGCAGTACCCGGACCCCCATACATGTCCTCCAGGGCAGTACCCGGATCCCCATACATGCCCCCCAGGGCAGTACCCGGATCCCTATACATGTCCCCCAGGGCAGTACCCCGATCCCCATACATGTCCCCCAGGGCAGTACTCGGACCCACATACATGTCCCCCAGGGCAGTACCCGGATCCCTATACATGTCCCCCAGGGCAGTACCTGGACCGGCATACACCTTTTATGGCCAATAACTTGCACATAAGCCCTCTTAAAGGGGACAATTGTTTTTGAAAGTTCTACCCCCCATAGACTTGCATTGAGTTTGAGTTTGAATTCAAACTTTTTCCATGTTCTAAAGTTTGAATTCGAACTCATCACTACTCCCTACCCCTACCCCCGCCCTGTGACTGGACAGTGAAAGTGTAAGCAGCACTCCAATAAGCTCATCTCTCTGTCAATTATATCCGATCAGCATGCTCATGGCACTTTAGCACAACTGATTAGCTCATTGTGCTGCTTCTCCATTACACTCTGTGAGCTTTGCTGTACAGCCTGTATATTAAACTGCAAGAGGCTGATACAAAATCAAATTCAGGTACTTACACCGCATGCAAACAAAAAATGCATTTCATGATGTAGGCATGAATACGGAGCTGCATTTATTTGTGCCATTGATATTTGCCTGGAGGTCAGCATTACCATTACAGCTAGATTCTGAACATTGTCACAGGTGATTGTGTGTGGAGCTGTAGCCTCTTGTCATATGTCTCTGTGCTGATTAAATCCTCTTCCACTCTCAGTCTGATAATCACTATTGTGCGTCAGTAGGAGGAGTTGAGAACACCCGATCTGCATGTTTTGCTTGCTTAGACACTAGTGTTCCCAGAACATCAGCTTAATATCAGCTCGGGATGGTAGCCGGCGTCCTCTGTATGTATTTTCCATTTCACTTCTATGTCAATCCTAATAAAATGATTACAGAGTATAAATGTGTATCAAAGTGTCATCTGTCATTACATACAGTGTGATCCTTAGACATTGCCCTGGTCACATCTTGCAGTGCTGGGCATACAGTGATGACATTATTTGCTCAGGGAATTAATTTACATTGATCACCGTCCATGTCGTACAATCATTGGAGTAATAATGAGGGCGCTCTCCTGGAGTCAGCGTTCTGCTACAAGAACTGACTGCAGAGACAAGAATAAAAAATGGGGACAGGACAAGATACTGAAGATACAGAGATCTTCATGATTATCACCGAGGCAGGAGGACACAGACAGCAATAAAACATTGTCAGACGTTCTAACCCCTCCCCCAGACTGCGTTCTTGTCTGTGCCCCGCCCATCACTTCCTGTCCTAATACGAAGGGCCCGCTATATCCAAAATAAAACACAAAGTTGTGGTTGGCTTTCATGTTAAAAAGTAGAATACTCAGAGCATTTTATTTTATTATTTTTTGAGTAATAAGTATTTGATGTAT